GATGCTCTTGAGCTCCGACAGGAACATGACGGTCTGGATCAGCTTGACGTCCGAGTATTCGGGGTCCCAGTGCATGTGAGCGTTGGCCACCAGCACCAGCGGTCTCGCCGGCGCCGCCTTCGCGCCTGAACGCAGACAACATCCAATGGTTCTTAAAACAAAAAAAAAAGTCAACACTTTTTTTTTTCATTCGTTTCCTCGTAAGACGGGTCGAGGCAGAAATGCTCATCATCCGCCCGTTGGTTGGTCAAAACAACGTAAGGGCGGCGCGTCCTTCTCACCCCCGGAGAACAAGTCCTTGTTGACCTCCAGCAGCACGGCCACGCCGATGTTGTCCTTAGTCATCACCCGGTTGAGCATCACCTCGGAGCCTTCAGAGTTGGCCATGGCCACCTGGTTGAACTCCACCGTGTGTTTCTGGACCAACGTAAACCTGCGCGCATCAATCGTTGCAACTCAACAAAAACCATCGAGAGACAACTGGGAGGGGGCGGGGGAGGCACGCGTGCCAACGCTCACTTGTCCGTCTTGAAGAAGACGGCACAGCCGTCCACGTGCTTCCTCTCCTGTTCCGACACCAGCTTGGCTCGAGATTTGGGGCAAAAATAACCGTCGTAGCCTCGTGACTTGAGCGTCTCCAGGAAGAAGGCGTAGTACTGCTCCGTCTCCACCTCCTGGACACGCGAGAGGCGGACCGATTTTGCCGTCAAAAGCGACTGGCGCACTCGCATCAGTGTCATGCATTTCCAACTTTGTTCGCACGAGGTGACTTTCTACTCTGAGTTTTTATATCTCCTTTCTTGTCATAGTGCAACTTTTTCCCCTGCAGCGGTTTCTACAAAAATAAAAAATTGAGTCCATAACATTACGATTACGCCCTTGGGAGTATGGTGAGTTCGTGTAAAAAAACAAACAAACCCATACTATAGACAACAGTTGTCAAACTCAAGGTCCGGGGGCCATATATGGCCCGCCAGATCATTTTATGTGGACCGCGAAAACAAATCAAAGACGGCAACTTTCATGATGCTTGCTAAAATCGCAACCAAAATTTTAAATTCTCATTTGTAATAAATAAGAGTGATACCGTAAGCGTTTTCTTGTGACCAAACCCCTCATTACAGTAACTTAAAAAATAGGTGAATGAACTTTGACTTCTTTATATGGTTTCAGTCATAATGACCCTGCAAAAAAAATGGGAACTAAGATGTGGCCCGCAACTGCTATAGACTCTTGCAACTTTGAATTTTATTTAATTTTTTTGTCAATATGACATCACCGCTCTCTTCTCGTAGCTTCACTTTTTCCTCAAAAATTCAAGCCCCCCCCCCCCAAAAAACCAAAGACTTCCATCGTGTATGTGCAAATTGTTTTCTCATAAATTCACAACTCTTGACTTCCTTCACACACATCACCACTTATTTGAAAACGTCACAACTTCATTTTAGTGTCTTCCAGGTATCACAACTTGGTAGCTTTCCAATGTTGTATCGCCGTGCCGGCGATCCCCCACGAGGGTGCCAAGGTCGGGGGCCACGCGTCTCACCTGCAGGCTGACGATGTCGGCGTCGCAGCCGTTGATCTCCTCCATGATGCCCTTCTTGCGGTACTCCCAGCTGAGCGCCCACGAGGGGCAGTAGCCGTACAGCTGCCGCGTGGCATACTTGTCGCACAGCACGTTGTAGCACATGACGGTGAAGGCGGCTAAACGCGGGCAAAAGGACGGGCGGCGGCGTCACCATGACAGTTTGAAGGAAAAAAAAAAAAAAAAAGACGACGACGCTAGCTTTGGGTGGCGCGCATCTAACCTGTGGGGACCGACTGGTCGCGTTCTTGGAGGGTGATCCACGGCCTTTGGGGGAGTTGCTCTGGATGCACTGCCAACAGAGCGGTGATGAAGAGCCAGGCAAAGTCGAAAGTGGGGCCCATCCCATTTGGAGTTTTGGAGGCCGATGTTGATTTTGGGCAGGAAAAAAAAAAGTTTCACTTTATTTAAAAAAATGTACATATAGTATATATATTGCAAGAAATAATATTATTTTCTCTCCTTCGCTTCAGTTCCCAGAATGCATTGCGTGGTGCAATGCATTTGATTAATTAAGGTATTAGTCGTTACCACGTGTGCCTTTGACACATTTATGGTATTTTGTTTTGTTTAAATTTTTTTTACCATCGGTGACTTTAGATTGTTTTAAAAATAGTCCCATCCAAGTCAATTACTTGCTCAACTTGCATTGCACGCCTAAGCACTGTTTGGAAAAATGAAGATTTGCTTTGTTTTGGAACGACGGGTCCATTGAATGACCCGCTTGACAAATTTCCTTTTGTATGGATTTAAGCATTTTTGGAAGGTTTACTGAGACAAAGTAACAACAGTCGTCTTCCCGCTCGGTGCGGTTGAGTGCCTTTGACCTTCATCCAAACGGCGACAATCTATCCTTAGTTTGCTTCCTTCTTTTCATTTTCAAAACTTATTTTGAAGACAAAGGAGGAACCATCGCATTTCTTCTTGGTTTTCACTCTTCATCCAAAGAGAGAATCTATTTTTATGGCCAATCGTTTGCTCACAACGTTTGATTTTGAAGGGCGCTTTGGTTCGTGAAAACAAAGTCATGACACTCTTCCAAATTCTTTTTGATGGTATTGCAAGTCTTTGCCTTTCATCCAAAATAGGGAATATTTCCTCATGGCTCATGACAACGGACCTTTGGACATTTTCTCATTTAAAATCGTCTTGGTTGTATCAAAATCAGTCGTTACATGTTTGAGAAACCAAAACAAAAAAAAAAAAACAAGTAAACATGACAATGTTTACTTTGTGTTTACCGGCGAGATTGTCGAGCATGTAGTTTAAAAGCTTCCGCGTTCCGTCGGGCTCTTGGTACAAGTTGAGGATGTCTTGCGAGAGAGGATTTCCTGCAACGACAACGACGACGACGATACCAAAAAGCACCAAAGTCAGCCCGATCGAAGATGACTTTCTCCTTCCCGAGAGAGCGTGCAGTCGCTGCTACACGCGCTCAAGGTGGGACTTGAAGAACGAGCGGACGGAGTGGGCGCCTGACCTTTCAGTCCCAGCGTTTGTAACTGGAAAAGCTTCCCGAGTTCATATGGCAGAACTCGTAAAAGATTGTTGTTTAAAAGCAGTTCCCTGAAAAAAAACAAAAAACAAAAACCTGACATGACTACCAAATTTCACGAATTTCTGTGAGCAAATCAGAAGAGGAAACGGCCTAACGACGTTCAAATGAGTAATTTTTTTTACACCGTGCGGACATGACTACCAAATTTCACGAATTTCTGTGAGCACATCTGAAGAGGAAACGGCGTAACGACGTTCAAATGAAGATTTTTTTTTTTTTTTACACCGTGCATCATGGAATGCTGGACACTGAATTTGGGGTTTGAACGGTGGTGCGAGACGTCCAAAATGACCCCAAAATGGCTGAAACGGGCGTCGTTGCGCGTCCTACCTGAGAGAGACCATGTTGCCCAACTCTGCGGGGAGGCTGCGGAGCTTATTGGACGACAGGTTCAGGTAGGCCAGACGAGGCAGCTTGGCGATGTCGGGGGGGATGCGCGTCAGGTTGTTGTCGTTGATGTGGAGCGCCGTCAGGTGGGTCAGCGTCCACAGCGAGCTGCTCAGACTCCGCACTCGCCCTGCCGACCAAATTGCATTCAACCCTTTCGGTTATTTTTAAATAAACATCCATATCCTTTGGGCTTTTTTTTCTCCTCCAAATATGCAGTGACCACTCATTATCTAAGTCACAGAAGATTATTCGCAGTGCTGCTACATCACGATGCAAAATGGCAGTCTGTGAAAAGTGCTTTATCAATAAAGTTTGACTGATGGATTGTATTTAAAACATGCCACCTACCGGAAATCTCGAGCTCGGCCCACTGAGACTTCTTCCCGTTCGCCGCGTCCTCGGCTGACATGATGGTGTAACATCGGCGAGGATCCGGAGGATCATATTTGTCCTTTGGCATACCGCACAATCTGGTAACTTAAAAAAAAAAAAAAAAAAAAAAAAAAAAAAGGGGGGGGGGGGGGGGGGTTAAAATATTAATTAAAGGGATACAAATATGCACCCGGCTGTTGACAATATGATCAGACAAAAAAAAAACAATAGGTCACTTAGGTAAAACGGTCTATTTTGTACGTTTTTCTTTACACGGACCAGGAAGTAACGTATCAGCTAAAAATCAGACAAAGACCAATTTTTGATGATATTGTCTTCACGTCACATTGTCATTCTCTGTGAACCAGGAAGTACCGGTCTCACGAACAAAAAGATATGTTTTTGCATTTTGATTTTCTCTTTTGTGACACAAGTAAAATCCCACATTCTGTTCTGTCAATCATATATCTTAACCAGGAAGTAGCTTCCTAGCTACTTCTCTGAACACAATACAGTACAGGAAAATGTCACTTTACCATTTTTCAATTTTGTTATCCAACCCCAGAAGGAAAAATGGTACGGTCCCAGCGGTCTGGTTGAAACTCGTACCTTATGCTCGACAAAAAAGTTAGTAGCCTGCTAGCTAACACTTACATGATGCTGTTTTTTTTTTCACTTTAATTAGCAAATGGAAAAAAATGCGACAGTGCCACTTGTCAGGTTGTAATGCTTAAGACCACGCAAATTTGTCAGTGGCCCCCCCAAAGGGAAGAGGTTGCCAGTCTCCTGGGGGCGGGGTTTAATGACAAAAAGATAAATAAATACCACCACATTGGCCACAGAGCTGCTTGTGTCTGAAGGTCAATCCAGCACTAGTCCAGTTCATCCTCTCTCAAACTAAACTCACAATGAAACCAACAAAAACACAAACTGCAATTTGTTTCCACTTCACTCCAACTCCAGAATTATTATTATTATTTATTTTTTTTTTACAGTCCCACTCCTGATCCTCCAGTCCTAGAAAATCATCTATTATTCTCAGTAAACCAATCGGACAAATTGACACTTTACCACTCACCACCAAGTTTAGTGTCTCAAACATGTTTTCATAACGTCAACAAAAATAAAGTTCCGCCACGTGGTTACAGTGTTACAGTCGTGCATGGGATCACGTAGCCGCATGAGGTTCGCAGGAGGTGACAAGTTTGGACAAAGTCTTACATAACCTGTTGACACACACGCACGCGCGGCCCAGCGCGCGTGCACGCGCGCACACACAATTATTATCTCGAGGAGTTATTTGAAAAGTAGGTTGCAAAAAAAAAAGAAAAAGGGAAGAGCTAATGGAAACTATGCAGCGTGTCAACTGCGGCAACAGCTGAGGCACGCGCGCCTGAATATGCGCATGCGCATGAGGATCCAAACATAGCTGCCCCCACGTGAGCACCAGCTGTCACTCACCTGGCAAGGCAGGTATGGCCACACCCTCCAGCCTGGCAAGTGACTTTTTATTTACATGAGTAGAAAAAAACCAGGCAGAGAGTAAAATACGAAGGACAAAGCGGAGGACGCTCAAGGGGGATATTTTGAAGTTGTAAAACAAAGTCAGCCAGTCAGCCATGAACGCGCAAAGCAGGCGATTTGACCGGTCAACATGTGAGTGCTTTCCATAAACAAGCGCCCGGAAGGCGTTGACAACATGGCGCCGTAAAGCGACAAACACCATCAGAAAGATATTACCTTCATTCGTGGGCGGTGGCAGGCGAGGTTAAGACGCGGGTGTGATCTGCATCGGCGGCGACATGTAGACACGACTGCTGTTGGTGTGAGTACGTCGGTCCACACCAGACCCTGAACGTCTCGGAAACAGGAGGGAGAAAATACGTCACTTCCGGCGCATGTTCACCTATCGTTTATACGCATGCGCGTGTTAGCTTGCTTCGGTGAGGCTAACGCTGCTACCATTGACTAACGTGGAAAATAAAAGTTTCATGAGCATTATTGTGACGACATTTTTAGCAGGTGGTAAAGGAGGCAATATACGTTGTTGTAGTCAGCGAGTCATTTATTTTCACTATTTCCCACCCAACAGACATGGATTTTATGCATTTATATTAGACCAAACATCGTTACACGATAAAGAAAAAATAATGTTGGAATATTTGGGATTTTTTTTAAATCATTTATTGACAGTCATACATCTTTTGCAACACATCGAAATAAGGGTGGACAAAAGTGCGTACTGCTTTTCATTTTGTCAAATAATCACCGCTCAAAACAATAGTTGGTGTAGTGATTACAGAAGGTAAACGAGCAGAACTAAATTGACGTTGATCCGACATGTTGTAACTATGCGACAGCATTCAAGTCATTGAGGGTTTTTTTTCCAATACATAACGTACTGGAAAAATATAATGAATTCTCCAAACGAGTACTTTTCAATTTAGGTACCATTCAGATTTTACTCTTGACTTTTCCTGTCTATACTGGTGTGAGTAATTATTTTGTCACCTGTACTGTTCTGGTTCTGCCAGATTGTATTTAGTAATTTGTTCATTTGTGTGCGCGTCGGCGTGTGTGACTATGAGGCCTCGTGACACTACTGGCGGATAAAAACACTTTCTCCTTGGTCTTTTCTCGTCCTCGGTTTAATACGTCTCCACATCCGCCACAAGAGGGCAGCCGTGTCATTTAAAACGTTTTTTTGTCGTGAAACGGGAGTTAAAATAGCGGCAGGCAGCCAGCAACGTGCTCCTGCTGTCCTCAACAGATGAAGTTTGCAAATACATGGATGTGAGAGTGAATACTCTTTGTAATTTGAATCAATAATGGTGGTCCCATAGAAGGACACTTAACAAAATTTGAAACCGAACACGATGTTTTTTGCTCCCATCTTTCATGAGCTGAAAGATTAAAGACTTTTTCTACGTACACCACCGGCCCATTTATCTCATATCTTGTTCACAAATCGAATTAAAATTCTGAATTAGTTCTCCTTTGCCGAGATAATCCATTCACCTCACTGGTGTAGGATATCAAGATCCTGATAGACGGCGTGAGTACAGTATTGCATAGGTGTGCCTCAGATTGACACTCTAAAATGTGCAGTTTTCAGAAAAAAAGCCTAGTTGTTGTTGTTTTTTGAAGTTGTCTTACGTGGAGATTTGGAAAAACAAGTATACATTAAAAAACACTGGCAGCGTAGAACTGGCTGCCGTGCATCAATTTGACCACTAGATGACGCTAAACGCACACAACTAAGCTTTGGCCAGGGAGGGAATAGAAAAAAAAAGTCTACGTTTTTTTAAATCAAATACAATTAGGTGGAGTAAAAAGTGCTGGGGGGTAGTGACTAGTAATAAAAATAGAGAGAAGAGTTTTTTTTTTTTAAATGTTCTTTTTGGTCCTTGGTGGTTTGAACAGTCACCAAGGGCTGCAGTGCCCCAAACACAGCACCTGCGTCTCCCTGGCAGGCACACACACACACACACACACACACACACACACACACACACACACACACACACACATATCCGTGTCGTCATGTGATGCCAGTTAGTGCACTTTTTATTTATTTTTTTTTTTGGCCAATGTTTCATCTTTCTCGCCCTCTGGAAGCGTCTTTCTTCCAGGCGATTTACTGCATCCTACGTTTGACTTAAATGTCAGGCCGCCGTCGAGCTTAAATTAATGGCGATCGCACTCCTCGGTGTTGAAATTCTCGGCGCATTTGTCACGGCGAGTGCACGGGCAACACCTCAAATGTCAGGTAAACGCGACGCGAGGATGGTAAATGTGGTGTGTTGACTCAGTTAAAAAGACACTTGGTGGATTGTCTCCTTTGCGGCGGACTCAATTCAGGGTTTGGGGCCCGCGGGCAACCTCTGCCGCGGTGACGCGCCCACTCGACATCTGTCTCGTTGCCGTGGTTCCAATTTGGTATTCATTGGGCCAAGTTCTCTTGTGAAGGCACATTAGAAAAGACCAATATGTGTCATATCATCTTCACTTCTACCTGTAGATTGCGAGCTAATTTGCTTTCAGGTTAAGTCGTTTCTACCCAAGCTGCAATGGCTCCTTGGGACTTTTTTGGTGGTTGTACTCCTGACAGACAAATTTCCTGCTGCTCAGTGAAACTGGCTTCAGGGGTTGAGTGTTCAAAAACTCTGGGAAGGAACCTTGGAAATGACCACGATGACCCTAAATAATAGCCACTTCAAACCAAAACGGCAGATGTCCGTTGGTGTTTCGGGAGTGGCTTCTTTTTGGTGGGTCTACCTATGATAGATGTGCCAACCAAATTGAACCTGACTTCCGGGAATGTCTTTTCATAAACTGTCGAGGAGGAGTTTGCCTACGAAGGCGCTTTTAAAATGGTCAAAATGACCCCAACTTGGCCACTTCAAACCAAAGCGCCTGACTTCCTGTGTCTTTTCAGGTAGCACTTCATGTGAGGTTTTTTTTTTTCAAGGTCTCCTCTTTAGATTTGCCGATCACATTTCTCGGTCCTGTTTGAAACTTGGTTCATGGGCTGAATTTCCAAAATGTGTGCGGTTGAGCTATTGAAGTTTCACAGTCAGTCTTCTCGCACCATGCTCCGCCCATATGCAACAACAATTCTAATTTGTCATAATTTTGCGTGGTACATTGTTAAATTTGGTACAAAAGCCGTCGGACTTGGTCGAATGAACCTCGGAAATGACCAAAGATAACGTCTCGATAAGTCCAAAATGGCCACTTCAAACAAAAAGTGCCCGACTTCCTGTGCATTTTCCAACATGGGTTTTGGTGACTTTTTTGTGCGTCTCATCCCGACAAACGTACCTACCGTATTTCATGTGGGACAGAGCCATCGTAGTGGTGGCGGGGGCTGATGTTTTGCAGGAGCTAACTACTGGCTCAAGTGAGCTTGTTAAAACAATCGCGCAGCAGTTGCAGTTGTCTAATTGGACCAGTGCGCATATCAGTGACCAAATTTGTCAGGCCAAAAGGATGTTTTTGTCCCAAAGTCATTCAAGCGAAAACATGTGAAAATACGATTCCTCTTATCGCAGTCGCAGACTAGCAATTTGACTTGTGAAGAAAATTCTTACAAAATATAACTCCCCCTCCACCCCAAAAAATGCATGAAAAGCATTCAAATTTTTTGGGAATGTCACACCACCCACTACCACAAAAAAATTGGCTTTTAGTTCGCACTACTTTTTTTGTGCTAAATGCAATTTTGGAAGATCATTTTTTTTCACCTCTCAAAATTACGATTTATTACTTTATAAGATTACGATTTTGCTTTAGAAAAAAAAAAAATTTAGCCTGTAAAATACATTTGTTTGCATCATTTGCATTCATTCGATTACAACTTCTTTTCTAATGTACAGCATTCGCATCATTTTTTACCCCTGAATAATACAAATTTCAGCTTGTAAAATATTTTCTCTCACAAAAATGCCCCCTTTTTTTATTTGCAAGATTACAACTACCTTTTAAAATACTCATTTATTCGAAAGATTCCAACTTCCATTATTAAAAAATGTCCTGCAGGCGATAAGATAGTGGTTTTTTTTTTTCCTGCAAAATTATGACTTTGTTAAAAAAACAAAAATGTCAACGTTGCCACTGTGGTTGAAGTCATTTTAATTGGACCACTGCATACGTCAGTAGCGAGTGTCAGCCCCCCAAAAGACTTTTTGTGCCGGAGTCATTAAAGCGTAATAGGAAGTGTAAAAATGTATAAACAAGCCACATAATGTCACACCGTATATGCACGCTGTCGGAATCCTCGGGAGTGCTTCAAGTCGGCCATGTTTTATTCATAGCGCAGAGAAAACAGAAGGCGCACACGCCTGTCATTTGCATGTTCACACCTAAACTCGACGCACCCGCCCATACTGTGAGTCATTCCCAAGTATGAGTGTGTGTGCGTGTGAGAGAGTGGCGGACTTGGATAGCTTTCTTGGCCCAAAAAAAACCCCCCCAAAAAAAAGCAGGCGAAAAAAGTGTTGACGCGTGATGCGTGCCAAAACAGTTTCTGTTCTCAAGCAATATTGTCAGTTCACTTTTTGAACATGTTTTTGGGTATTATACCAAAAGGAAAAAAAAAGCAATTTTGTCAGTGAGGTTGTGACTGTTCTCTTAGGAAAAAAAAAGATCTCAAAATATTAATAAATAATACTTTTCTTACCTCCAAAAAAATGTGAGCTTCAAATTTGGTGGCAATTGAAAGAAAACCTCACCTCCCCTTGGGTTGAAAGAATCATTGAAATGACCAAAGTATTTTTTTTTGACAGCCGATTCATCTTTGAAGGACCCAGAGAATTTACCAAAATGACCTTAAAATTGCTGCTTCAAAACAGCATGGCCGACTTCCTCTGTGTTTTCAAGCATCATCTTGAGATTTGATTTGATTTATTTTTTTGTGGGTCTACTCATAATAATTTTCATTTTTTTCATTTTTCAATTTTTTTTTTTTTGCAGGTCATGAAAGGGTGCAAAGAAGAAAATGTACATTTTCCTCACTTTATTCCCCCCAACTGTTTAGTGTAACGTGGTTGAAATTTGATAGCAGTTTGGCAAATCATTTCGAAGCGGTATGTGTTTTTGGTATGAAGGTGGAAAACAAACCAAATAACCCCCAAAATGCTTCAAACCACAATGAC